AATTTTTTATTAATTTATTTTAAATTTAAAATAAAAATTATTTTTTAATTTAAAATTTTATATATTTTAAAAAAATTATAATTATTACTTAATTATTAATTTTTATCATGTACTTTCAAAATGTAGAAGATAGACAAATTTTTATTTCTTTTTGGTTTTGTGCAAGAGATTATTATGGATAAGGAACCGAGGGACATGATGAGCATATTTTTTTATGGTTTTCATGATTAAAGTTTGACATGCGGCCTTATCCTTTTGCTTACTGAGGAAATTACTTTAGTCACCGGATGCGAGAACATTTTTTTTTTTTTTTTGACAGCAAGGACTTCTATTAAGAAAATCTGGGTACAAAAGGTACTCAAATCTTTTAATAATCACAAAACCAATGCAAGCCACTCGATGCTAATCCCATCTTACAGACCTATCTTTCTCAATCTAATTTTTCCCACCATAATTAATAGTAAAGCATGAAACAGGATCAAGCAACCACTCCGAAAGATTGAAGTAGCACTTGGCTTTTCTTGCCTTAATCTATACAAAAGATCTCATTTGAATAAGTTCAAAAAGCTTACCCTTATTTGGCTCTGAATCATGAAAAATCTTTTGGTTTTGTGTGAGCCCCATGTTAAGATGTAAACATATTTATTGTAAATATTTTATATGTTAGAATATTCTCTTTGTAAACACTTATATATAGGTCAATGTACATACAATATTATTCAAGAAAGCAATAAACCTTTCTTCAGATATTTCTCCTTCTTTTCAGTTTCTAACATGGTATAAAAACTACAAGCTCCTGGTTCTTCTTTTTTTAATCTTCACTGTTTGGCTTATGAGTTGGTTTTTCAGATCTATTCCAGATCAGAAACTTTGTCATTGGGTTCTCTTCTCTTACAAATTGGATTGTTTATTCTCAGGTACTTTCTGAGAGATTTTTCCAGTATTGTGAGTTACACTGATTCTATGGTGAGTTTTGAAAGAACCATGACTCATCCTGTTGCTACAATGGTTGTCAAAGAAGTGATAGACCAACCTATTGTCAACCCTGAATTTATGGTGAGTTTTGAAAGAACTATGACTCATCCTGCTGCTGCAATGGTTGTCAAAAAAGTGATAGACCAACCTATTGTCAACCCTGAATTTATAAAACAGGTGATATTAAATCATCTTAATGCTCCTATGGTGAGTTTTGAAAGAACTATGACTCATCCTAAGTTACACTGATTCTATGGTGAGTTTTGAAAGAACTATGACTCATCCTAAGTTACACTGATTCTATGGTGAGTTTTGAAAGAACTATGACTCATCCTGCTGCTGCAATGGTTGTCAAAGAAGTGATAGACCAACCTATTGTCAACCCTGAATTTATAAAACAGGTGATATTAAATCATCTTAATGCTTCTACTGCCTTATCTACTACTCCAAATACTAAACCTTGGTATTTTGAGTCCCGTTGTTGTAATCACATGTCTTCAACTATTGCTCATTTTTCTTTAATGTCACCAAATAATTCCTTTCCTGACATATATTCTACTGATGGCTCCCCTATGAATGTTACTCACATTGGCAATATTTCTACAAATTCATTGACTTTACCAAATGCTTTCTTGGTTCCAAAACTTAGTTATAATCTTTTATCTATTTGTCAATTTTGTGATCTTGGTCTTGAAGTAACATTTTCTACTCATGGTTGTCGTGTGTAGAACCCACAGACATGACAACTTCTTGGAAGTGGTCGCAAGGTGGGGCATTTGTTTGAGCTCAATTATTTGCACATTCCTCATCATAAAATGGATACACCATAATTTCTAAATGACCGATTCATCCAAACCCTACTTTGTGCTATTGAATTAGAGTATTTTCAAATTTCATATCAACAAATCTTCTAAGGCTATGCTGCTACTAACATTTCTCCTCTTCATTTATGGCACTCACAACTCGGATACACCTCAATCGGTAAACTCCATCCTCTTTTCTCTCGTGGTTTATTAGGATCCATTTCGAATGAATCCTTACATTGTGTGTCATGTCAATCTACAAGACAACTAGCTTTATCTTTTTCTAGTAGTCATTCTTTTTTTGTTGCTTCTTTTGATCTTGTGCATTTTGATGTTTGGGGTCCATCTCTGACACCTACCATGGGGGGTTCCAAGTACTTTGTGTTATTTATTGATGATCATACTTATTTTACTTGGATGTATCTTATGAAAAATCGCTCTGAGTTATTACAAATTTATATTGATTTTGCTAACATAGTCAAAACCCAGTTTTCTAAAATTATCAAAGTTTTGAGGACTGACAATGCCACTGAATATCTTAGTACTAAAATTCAATCCTTTCTGAAAAAACATGGCACACTGACACAACAATCTTGTCCTTACACTTTTGAACAGAACGGGTGAGCCGAACGTAAACACAGACATATCCTTGATTCTGTTCATGCTCTGCTCATTTTGTCTTCTTATTTAAAGCGATTTTGGGGTGAAACTGCTCTTATAGTTGTTTGTCTCATTTATCGGATTCCATCATCAGTCATCAATAATAAGTCCCCATACAAATGTTAACATGGTATTCTTCCTACCTATGATCTTCTTAAGGTTTTTGGTTGTGCTTGTTTTACTTTTCTTCCACCTCATGAACATAAAAAGTTAGAGCCTAAAGCTCGATTATGTTGTTTTTTGGCTTATGGGATTACACATAAAGGATATCGTTGTTGGGATCCTGTGTCATAAAAACTTTGAGTCTCACGTCATGTTGTCTTTTGGGAATACACTATGTTTTCCTCGTTATCAAACTTCTAGGTGTCATCTTCTGATCAACCTCCACTTTTTACTAACCCTTCTATTGAGCTATTTCCTAGTGAATTTGATGCAAATACATTTGATGAGCTCCATGATGCCTCCCTACATGCCCCACCTAGTTCTATAGAAGATGCTTTGCTTGTTGGTAATGCATTAGACAATGGTGAGTCTTCTTCCATTCCCTCTTCTGTATCACCCATTGGATCTAACCCTGTTGAGCTCGAAAATAAGATCCTTAATCCATGTTCAAGTCGTCCTACTCGGATAAGAAATCCTCCTAACTATCTTCATGACTATCATTCTTTTCCTACTATTACCTCCTTACATGAACCTCAATCATATCAAGAGGCCTCTTTTAACCTTATTTGGCAACAAGCTATGTAAGATGAATTACAAGCTCTTGAGAAAACTCGTACATGGGATTTAGTTGATCTTCCTGCTAGAAAGCCTCTGGTAGGTTGTAAATGGGTGTACAAGATTAAAACTCAGTCTGATGGTTTTGTGGAGCGTTACAAGGCTCGTTTGGTTGTAAAGGATTTACTCAGGAATATGGGATTAATTATGAGGAAACCTTTGCAGCCGTTGCTCGTCCTACTTCAATTCGTAGTTTGATTGCTATTGTTGCTTCAAAAGGATAGAAATTGTTTAAGATGGATGTGAAAAATGCCTTCCTAAATGGTGATCTTGTAGAGGAAGTTTACATGCAACCACCTCCTAGACTTGAGCATCCTCCAAACAAAGTTTGTCAATTGAAGCGAGCTTTGTATGGTTTGAAACAAGCACCTCGAGCTTGGTTTGCCAAGTTTGCACCACCATCAGTGAATTTGGTTTTACTTTTAGATCTCATGATACTACGTTGTTCAGACGCAAGACTAATCATGGTATGGTTCTACTACTTCTTTATGTAGATGATATGATCATTACTGGGGATGATATTTTAGGTATTCATGATCTTAAGCAATTTCTCAATCATAAGTTTGAGATGAAAGATCTTGGTGTTTTGAGTTATTTCTTGGGACTTGAGGTCACTTATTCTGATGATGGTTATCTTCTCTCTTAAACAAAATATGCCTCTGATGTTATATCTAAAGCTCGACTCACTAACAGTAAGATTGCATCTACTCATTTTGAGCCAAATGTTCGATTTACATCTATGGATGGTTCTCCATTAGCTAGTCTTACTTGCTACAGACAATTGGTTGGAAGTTTGATTTATCTCACTACAACACGACCATACATAGCTTATGCAGTTCATGTTGTTAGCCAGTTTATGGCTACACCTTACTTCACTCACTATGCAGTAGTACTTTGCATTATTCGCTATATTAAAGGTACCATTTTTCATGGACTTCACTTTTCTACTCATTCATCTCTTGAACTTTGTGCTTACTCTGATGCTGATTGGGCTGGAGACTCTGATTATCGTAAATCAACCACTGGCTATTGTCTTTTTCTTGGTGATTCCTTAATCTCTTGGCGTAGCAAGAAGCAAACAGTTCCATCATGTTTTAGCACAGAGGCCGAATATCGAGCACTTGGAGACACCACATCAGAGTTACTTAACTTATGTTGGTTACTAAAAGATATGGATGTTCCTCAACCACCTGTTACTAATCTTTATTGTGACAATCAGAGTGTTATGCAAATTGCTCATAATGATGTCTTCCATAAACGCACTAAACATATTGAGGTCGATTGTCACTTTATTCGCCATCATGTTGCACAAGGAACTATTCATTTGGTTTTCATTGGCTCTGCTAATCAACTAGTAGACTTTTTCACTAAGGCTCATTTTCTTGGACGCTTTCGTACTCTTATTTCCAAACTTAAGTTGGTTTCATCGCAACCACCTTGAGTTTGAGGGGTAATGTTAAGATGTGAACACATTTATTGTGAACACTTTATACCTTAGAATATTCTGTTTATATACTTTATACCTTAGAATATTCTCTTTGTAAACACCTATATATAGGTCATTGTACATAAAACATTATTCAAGAAAGCAATAAACCTTTCTTCAAATATTTCTCCTTCTTTTCAGTTTCTAACACCCCATGGACCATATCATTGTGTTCCATATAAAGTCCAGCCTTCTTCATACAAATGCGAGAACATTGAAAATTTTTCCTCCTACAAATCATAGGTAAGAGGTTTTCTTATTCTAGGAGTACCTCTTTTAGTCTTTTTTACTTCTATAGCCCTTTTTCTTTTCTAACTTGAAAATAAGTACTTAATTGACATTTAATCCATTCCCTATTTTTTGGTACTTTTGTTGATAAGTCATACAACAAACAAGAAATACTCATATTTTCCATTTAAAATAAAAACTTTCAATATGAAAATTAATTAAGTTCTCCACTAAAATTGTTTTAGACCTAGATGTTGAAGCAATATATTCTGAATTCTACTCTAGTATATAACTAGTTTTCTTTTCTTCTGTTTTGTTCTTCTTAGTGATGTACTTTTAATTTAAATACTTATTTTTTATGTGTGAAACTCATGAATAAGTATATATTATTTATTTTTTTCATAAAATACTTCGTTGTGCTTAGATCATTACCAGAAGCACAATAAACAAGTACTAAAAGAAACAAACAATTATTGGACTGCACAACATGGTTGAATGAGGGTTGAGTTTGTTGAATTAGGGTTATTATCCTTCAATAGTTTTTATTTTACGGTAAAGTGTAATATTATAAACTACAAAATAAAAAATTTATTTTTTTAAAGAAAATGATA